ATGTTTTGTTTTCTTTTGGTGGTTTTAGTAATCTTGATGTTGTTGCTACAATTTGGGGAATCAAAGCCAAGACCAAGTCCTTGCACATGCAGATAGCTCCCACTAATCTGTATCTTTCAAGGATAGATACAGATTATCATCTGTAATCTGTATCTCAAATTTGAGATGAGTAATCAACGGAGGTCTCCCCATAACACCTACAACTCCTTCTATATTATCAAATTTAATCTTATGTTACTTTAATAGAACTTATTTTATTATTTATTTATTTACTTTATTTATTTTTATGTGTTGGGTAAGGGAAGAAAAGAAGTGGGAGTTAAAATTGAATACAAATGAATTGGTTTGTAAGTGAAAAGAATGTTATAATTTCAAAATTTGCTTTGTTTTTCTTTTTTCTTTTTTTCTTTTACCATTTCAAAAGCATATGAATTAGGGTATACTAATAGATTAAAAAATGAATTAAGTTTTCCAGCATATTTGAGTGAGAATCATTTGAATGAATGACAGAGAATATAATTTATAGAAGCATATCAGGATTCCATTTTACACAATTAAATAGTGTACTATTAGACATATTTTTTGAGAAATGCAGTTTAAAAAGAGTTTGACCTCAAGGAGCAAAGACAGACCTGTCCAGATGAAACAGCAGTGACATAAACCACAATGAGAAGTCTTCCATTTTATATAACAAGGTCAAACAAATATCCAGGTCATGACTTTCCCATTAGATCTTGGAGTAGTCTACTCTGATTGAGTCATAATATCATGGTGTTTCTCAGCTAAACCTAGTTCAAAGTACTAGCCGGGATAAAAGTCAAGCAGAAGTTTCTCCCAGACTCCAGCTCTCATCCTTTTAAGGAAGTTCCTCTGTTGGTTCGTGGCCCTGTACCTTTTTTCCCCCTTATCCTTTTCCCCTATTTTCTACTTCCCAATGTCCCATCACCAAACTGAGCTCTCCAAACTGGTCTAAAATGTCCCAGTCTGTTCACAGGTGTTATCCTCCCCCTGCTTTCTTTTCCAACATTTATACTAAAATATTTTAATAATTTATCTTCTTCCCAATTCCTCCAATATTTACCAGCCTTCAGCATACTCCCATTTTAATTTTATCAGTGAAAATAAACACTCGTATTCCCTTTTCACAGAAAAGAGAAAACACAGTTACTCCTCAGGCAATTTAGAAAGTGACATAAAAGCCTGGCATACCTACCTGCCACACCGGCCCATTGTCCAAATGCCACTATTCGTACCCCTCTATGATCCACCATTTTTTCATAATCAATAAGTCGGATTTCCTGAAGAAAGGGTAAAAAATTTCTCAACCAGACCTATTAAGTTCAATTGCAATGAGTAAAGTACATATATGAACAAGTATTCTCCATGTTTTCTTCTTTCAAAATATGTCTTGACTTGCTAACCTAAATTTCCATGAAGTGAACTATGAAATATTTAGAAAAAGTTAGATCAAAAAGCTAACTGCAGGTTTACAATTGGAGATGAAAGAATAGCCCTAGAGGTTGCTAAATGGCCTTGTTGCTGGACAATGAGATGACCAAAACAGGATTTTCTGTTTTTGACAAACATACAGCCCAACCCAACCAGCACCATCTATAAATACGATTACAGCCTCTATTCATCCTCCCATTCTTCCTTTTGGTCCTAAAGAAAATGAATCCCTCCTGAGACTCATTACTCTGAGCCAATCTCAAGTTTTTTCTAAGTCTTCAAAGACCACATTTCTTAAATTATTATTAGCTCTTTCCAGCATCATTCCTTTTTATTAGAATGGCTTCTCCTCGGTTATTCTAAATACTCCCAGGTCTCTTCTACCTGAAAAGTAATAAGAATGGCCCCTCCCAAGTTTATACACAACTGTGTCTCTCTTCCTTCCTCCCTTTCCTCCTCTCCTCATTCTTTCTTTTTCTACCCTTTTACAGGTAAGCTTTCTTTAAGAAGTTGAGCATTGTCTCAAAATAAAGTTGTTTTCTTGGGGGTGTGGGGCTGAAGGCATGCTGGGGATGGAGTTCAGTGATAGAGCATTTGCCTAGCATGTGCAAAGCCCTAGGTTCAATTTCTGCACCACAATAATGAATTAATTATTAATTAAATAGTGCATACTGCCTGTATATCTTTTCTCACCTTTTCTAAAAAGCTATTCCTCCGCTTTCCTTGGGATCTTCCATCTCTGTGGGAAAGACTTATTAATTTATGCTTAAAAGCTATTGATCCACTCTAATCATAGAATGTTTTGAACACTTATTTTATTTTCTCAAACATCAAATGATTTAATAGCTGGGGTTAAGATCAGTGGCCAAACACAGAGACAAAGCACACTTATCTAGAATGCATAGGCCCTGAGTTCCACTCATATCACTGAAAAAAAAACATATAATTTTAATTATGTCTATACATTTAAGAACATTTTACATGCATCCAACTCTAACTGGTTACAAAGGACTGCCAAAAAGTAGCCCCGCTGGTTCTGTTTTTATTAATTTTTTTTGTAATGAACAAAAGTCTTTAAAGTATTTTCTAAAGGTTGATTTGTTTGAAATGGAATATTCATTTTCTAATATGATTTCCATTAATTACTTTTGAATCTGTTCTTCAGAAACATTGCAAATTAACTACAACCTAGGTCTAGTGTATTTGAAATTAATAGGAAATAATGCAATTCTCTTGTATAAAATACATTGTCCCTATTGCTTTTCCTAGTTGTGAGCTCTCCCATCCTCTCCCATCCTCAGAAGTTAGTCTATTTCTAATTCTCTAACATCCTTCCTTTAGCACAGGGACTTTGGATGACTCATTTATTTCCATTCACTCATTATACTCTCCCAACTCCATGATTATAGATACTTTCTGACAACTTCCCAATCTATGTCGGGAGGAGCTGCCCACCTGAGCTCTGGACTGGTGTCCCCAGTCCACTTAACTTGAGGTCCCAAACTCAACTGTTGACTTCTCCATCCGTGCCTGCTCTTCTTACAGTAGCACCATCTCCCTCTGTAGGGCCCCTACAAGTTGCACATGCCAAAACCTTAGTCATTCCTGACTCCTCTCCTTTCTCATAGTCCACTTTCATTTCACCAGTGAATTTTGTAGGACTCAGCTTTAAAACGCAGGATTGTCCATGTGACAGGACTCTCCATATGTCACAACTCCATTTCCACCACCCAGGTGAAAGGCACCATCATTTGCAGTCTAGTCTAGACTATCACTGACTAACAGGCTTCTGATCACTTTGGCTCTCCGACTTCCACCTGCAACTATTATCACAGAGTAGACAAAAAAAAAAAAAGCATTTTATTACATGACCCATTCTGTCCACTCAAATAGACCCTGGAGCCTTTTCATTACTATTACTACTTGGAAGACTCTTTCCAGAAGGGTATGGCTTAGTCCGTTGCTGCCTTCAAATGTCACCTTCATAATGAGGCCCCCCCCCATGACCATCCTGTGTGATCCAGTAGTGTCACCTCCGCCAGGGCCCACATTCCTATTGTCCTTCAGCATTGTTTCTCTCAACACATGTTGACAAGTGACATATAAGATGTCATTTGTCCTCTGTCTCCTTTCATTAGAATGTAAGTATGTAAAAGCAGCATGACAGATTCACTAGATGCTAAAGAAAACAAAAGCCCCACTTTGAAGTTATATTAAAATATTATTTTCCTGTGTTAACACTTATGCATATTGGTCACTAGTTACCTGTTTTAGAATCTCATCCAACAAGTTCATATTGGCCTCTTGAGCTTTTATTGTGTGGGAGAAGAATGCATAAGTTTTCTTGGGCATTAGTTTATCCTCTGGAGGTCTTTTAACTCCCAAAATTAGACAAGCTTCGGAAATGTCCTCCTGAAGAATGCCACCAGCTTTGACGTATTCCTGAAAATGCGATTTGGTTAAAGATTATTCCTCTAACTTGTGGTTGTCATATTTTCTCTAATAAAAAGTTGAGCAAATAAAAGCACAACTTTTTTGAAGCAGTAAAAACTTGTATGGATTAGAACTAATAGGACAGCAACTTTTAATACTTGAACTCTCCAGCTAAAGATAGATCTATTATGTTTAACTGTTATAACAAAAAACAATTAAAAAATTCAGCACACACTAATATTTAAGAACAGTTTAGCCAGGTGTGTGACAGTGACTTGGAAGCTGAAGTGGGAGGATGACAAGTTCAAAATCAGCCTCAGCATTTTAGCAAGACTGGTCTCAAAATAAAAACAAAAAAATGGCTGGGGATGTGTCTCAGTGGCTAAGCACCCCTGGGTGCTTTCTAAAAATTAAATTTGTTTATTTATTTATTGCAGTGCTGGATATCAATCCCAGGCAGGGCCTCAGACATGCTGGGCAAGTGCTTTTCCACTGAGTCACATTCCCTGCCCATGATCATGCATTCCTAGGAGATAATCTGATATTTTATACCTTTAATGTGTTACAATGTGTAAAACATACATTGCTTATATGTATGACACAAGAGGTTAGCCTTAATATAATCATAAGAAACAACCAAACTAGTTCTACCCAGAAGCAGAACATTCTACAAGTCAACTAGCCTGGATTCCTCCAGAAAACAGAAATAAAGGTGCTGATCAAAAGAACTAAAGAAACATAGCCATGACTTGCAATGACCTTCAATTAATCCTTGAATTAAACTAAAATATATTTGAAATAGGGAATCTGAACATCAACCATATGAGATGTTCTCACAGAATTATTAATTTCTTAGGTATGAAAATTATATACTGGTTATGTAGCAAAACTATTTACTCCTTAGAGGTGCATGCTAAAGCATCATTCAGTACTTGAAAATGATTTAGGAAAGGAAAATATATATATATATTTTTTTGCATATTCCTAAAGTGGGAATAAGAATCTAACCCATATCATAATATTATTGTGAAATGTTTATGTCCAGCAGAATTCTGAACATAAAGGGCTTCTCAAAGTGCCTGACAGGACACACTCTTGGGCTGGGGACACACTCTTGTGATAAAACTCTCCTCAAAGAAGCATTCCCTGGCTTCAAGGATGGTGTCTTAATCAACCTTGGGCTCTCTACTGCAAACTAGGGTTGTACATGAAGGACAGAAAGAATGAAAACCATCAACATCTAAAAGCAGACACTTTAACCTTTAGCTGAAGAAAGTATGGAGTAGAGTAAAAATAACACTTTTAAGCAAAAAGAAAAGGAATTAAAGTGACACTAGCACATTTATTTTTCCTCAGATGCTTCTTATTTTTCATACACAGGTTCATTTCATTTGCACACATTTTAAAAATTGAAAACAGTCACCTTATCATGAATGGCCCGCCGATTGGAAGGCTGTATCAAGACCTTGTAGCCCAGACTGGTGATCCCTTTGATGTGCTTGGGAGCCAGAGGCGCTCTTCTCTCCCAGGCGTTGACATCCTCCCGTCTGAGAGCCATGACAGCTTTGTGGTGAAGGGCTCTGGAGAGGCTGACCCTTAGTGGGGTCAGGTTGCTCCTGTGTATTTGAAGCATCTTGAAACCTGATGACTGTGAAGGCAATGTGAGAAAACAGAGCAACAAAGGACAGGAGGGCTTGTAGATCAGTTGTGGTCTCCTTAGAAATCTGCTGAAAAACACAGCCAACCCAAATGAGGATAAAATATGACCAGAAGAGATAGGGACAAGAAGATACACAAGAAGGGAGGGGCAACCTCCATGTGAAGTGTACCTTTACCCAAACAGACCCAAATTCCCAAACATGAAGTTACTTAATTCCAAAGTAAGTGTAGAGCTACTTAGGTGACAGTAATCAGTAGCCAAGTCAACATACCTTTCTAAATATGTTTTACCAAACATGTACTCAACACAAAAGTTGAGTACTACCATGTAAAGCCAGGAAGATGACGGAAAGCATCTCTTAATAGAGTGGTCCAAATTTTGATGACATAAAGCTTCAAACTCTGATAATGATATAAGATTCTTGACAACTTAATGCCAATGTGCCTTCAGCTTCATCTCAGGCCATTTCCTGGACATGCACTACTTGGTATGTTCTGCTAACTTGTGTCAGTCAGTGGACTATTCTTACTGGTCAGAAATGAGATGCAAGAAGAACTAGAAAGCAAGCATTTTATAAGCTGCAATATCACATGATCATTTTCCTAGTTATTCCCTGTTACTGAATTTTACAAAAGCATCATCCTGAACAGGTTGTAAATGCAAGGAAAGCAACCAGCTAACCAAACCAGTTCCTCCCTTACCAGGTTAGACTGTCACCCTGCTCCCATCCACCTCTACCTTGGGCTTCCTGCTTCAACCTCACTGTTCCCTCTTGTTGCCCTCAACATAATCCCCTTTCCTGGCTTTTCTCTCCATACCATGTTGTCCAGCCTTTGAATTTAAGCCCAGCCCACCTCACCTTTCCAACTGTCTCCCAGATGGCATAATTCCACTGACTGATCAACCAAAAACATCCTATATTTGTGGGCTGGGGATGTGGCTCAAGCGGTAACGTGCTCGCCTGGCATGCTCGAGGCGATGGTTTCAATCCTCAGCACCACATAAAAATAAAATAAAGATGTTGTGTCCACCAAAAACTGAAAAATATTTTTAAAATTCTCTCTCTCTCTCTCTGTCTCTCTCTCTCTCAAAAAAAAAAAATCCTATAGATGTGGGCAGAAAGATTTTCCCACTGCTGGTGGGACTGTAAATTGGTTCAACCATTCTGGAAAGCTGTATGATTTTCCTCAGAAAACTTGAAATGGAACCACCATTTAACCCAGTTATCCCATTCCCTGGCATATACCCAAAGGACTTAAAATCAGTGTACTATAGTGACACAGCCACATCAATGTTTATAGCAGCTCATTTCACAATAGCTAAGCTATGGAATCAACCTTCAACGGATGAATAGATAAAGAAAATGTGGTACATATACACAGTGGAATATTACTGAGCTGTAAAGACGTATGAAATTATGGCATTTGCTGGTAATTGGTTGGAACTGGAAACTATCATGCTAAGTGAAATAAGCCAATAAAAAAATCAAAGGCCTAATGAAGTTCTCTTTGATAAGCTAACTCATAATAAGCTGGTGAGGCGATAGAAGTTCACTAGGATAGACAAAGGGAATGAAGGGAATAGAGGGAGATTGGGAATAGGAAAGACAGCAGAAATTAATAGGACATAACTTTTCTGTGTTCATATATGAATACACACCCAGTGTAACTCCATAACATGTACAACCACAAGAATGACAAGTTATACTCCATGTATGCATGATGTGTCAAAATACATTCTACTGTCATGTATAACTAAAAAGAACAAATAAAAAAATTTTAAAACATCCCATCCATAGTAAATCTGCATCCTATACAGAGTAAATTTTTTATAAGATTTTACACATACATATTTAGATCTAGTAGTGTTTATTCTCTCTGTCCTCAAAGTGTTTCATATATTCTATAGTCAAACGTCATTGCAGATGGTGATTTGCTGGATCATTTAAAGTTTAAAACTGTTTTCTTTGTAAGGTGAGCAGGAAAATGTAAATGGCATATTCTCTAGAAATTCTATACCCATAATTTTACATCTTTTAGAAATGTCCTACCCATTATCGTCATCACATAGCAAAACTTTTATGAAATATTTTTCCAATACATCAGATTTCAATCTCTAAAAGCACCCATATAGATGAGGAAATTCTGACCAAACATTTAAGCATAGAAGTGCATTCCCTGGGGACAAACAACTGCCTGCTCCCTATAATGGTCAATTTATAGAATATTTCACAACAGAATCAGAGAATAGAGCAAAACAGTAAGGAATTCAGCTGAAAAGGCTTTAGAAAGAAAAGGTCAAAATCAGAGAAAGCTGCTGACAGAAGGAAAAATTGTTAATGATTAGTTCAGGCTTCAACTGGACTAAAATGGAGATACCAAAATAGATGATTAACATTTTAACCAAAAACTGTTGCAGACTACATCTAATTTTTGGTTAATTCACATGGTTTTGTTCTTAGGAGAGATGATTATACTCAAACCCAAGCCCATAATATATAGTGTCCCCCAAGTTAAAGGAGAACCTGCAATGTCTCATGGAATCTGAATGCCTTTGTTCCCAAATAAAACCAGTTCCAAAGACTGTGAATCTTTTAAACACACACACACACACACACACACACACACACACACACACACACACACACCTTCCCAGCAGGGACTGTATTTCCTGAACCGACCCTGTATCTTCTATTCTGAGTAGCAATTCTTGGCCCTAAATTGACCCCTCCCCCAACACACACACACACACACACACACACACACACACACACACACAGCCCAGTCTTGATTTATAACCAGAGCCACACCTCATTCCCTTGACAGCCCCTCCTGCTCCTTTGTCTGGGGTCAGGTTGGAGGCAGCAGGAAGCAGACCACACAGAGAGACAGACACACACATACAGTGTATGTGTGTTTGCAAAGTCACACTTTCTAAGGGAACTAAAAAAAGAAATGGCAGGGTCTGAGCTTCTGGGATTCATTTAGGAAAGTACTTTCACTTTCATTTTTTGTAAGGAATTGTAAAATGATCATTTCTGTGACTTTCACTTCTAAAACAAATATAGCAATAGTTTGCATTAATTATGCTAGGCACTTTAAGTACTGTCACATTTCCCTCTTGCAAATATCTTACTAGGTAGATACTATTATTATCCCCATTTTACAGATGAAGAAACTGAAAAGGAGCCCTTCTGGATCAGTTGCTTTTCAACAGAAGCAGGATTTCTAGGTTAATGCTTAACACCTGGGACACTCTGTTTGCTGAAGCTTACGGAAGCTTACCATGTAGATCTAACACATGCTGTTACTCTGGCCAGCTCTTGCTAAAAAAAGGGGGAAAAAATCAGATCCATATGGTATGGACTTCACAGTCATCGTAAATTATCAGTTTTCCTCCCAAGCACGCAGTGCTTCTCTTGATATCTTTTTTCTCTGTTGCATTGAAGTTCTTTCCTGAGTCTCTGCCAAGGTAAATTCCAGATTTCTGGGTGCTTAGAGAAAAGGTTTGATTGTAGCAGGTATTACTGTTCATGACCTCTTGAACCTTGAAACTTGGTCTCAGCAATGAACTTTCCAGTTACCCACGGTCATCAAGAAGTGGGTCACAGGTAACAGTGAGAATCTTGCAGTTGCACAGCAGGTGCCTAGCATTTTGTGGAAATATCCTTGTGGGCTATTCTCGCTTTTCCTGTCCTGTATTTTGTGGTCTTTTACAAGAATATCAGGAAATAAGTTCCACAGAGCTCTCAAGGAAGCAAGTCAGAAAGATTCTGGCTCATCCACTGGCTCTAGTGAGGTTAACTGATAGTGCTAAGTCCTAATTTCAATGTACAGTATGTGTAAGGAGGGTGTAGAAAAGCAAGAGGGAGATAGTGTCACATATACAGGGATAGGGGGGAATCCCTTTTCCTGCAAACTCTGTCTTCCCTTACACATAAAGGTCAAATTTTCAAATATAAAAATAAATCTAAAATATTTCTTCTCTATGTTTTTGTAAAATGGGAACAGCACTGTTTCTTATCTAGTACATTTCTTATCAAGAACTGATCAAGAGTTTGAGATCTCTCTAAAGTCATAGGAATATTACAGAAAATTACACAGAGACACATACTGAGTCAGGAAGACAATCAGAGGGCAGGTTCTCCCAGCAGGAACAGGACAACTTTCTATATTATACCGTCATAGTGGTCTTTACAATTCTCAAGGAGGAAAGGCTTAGGGGTTCCATTTAATACAGGGCTTAGCCTAACTTTGCACACATGGGTATGGGAAGACACACTTAAATGTTCTTAGTTCTTAGTATTTTCTTTTCAAGAAAAACAAGGAGGAAAATAATCATTACTGATATAGATACATGACAGATGATAGATAGGAGAGACAGAGGTTAGTACTCCATATATAGCCCATCATTTGCTTTCAGTGACCATTCCCTATTTCCTGGTCCTTGAGTGCATCATTATCCCAAATCATATGGAGAAATCAAAGCACAGTATGTAAAGTGCATTTATAAAAGTGCATATCTCAAGAAAAACCACTCTCAGAACAGAGGTGGCTAACAAGGTCCTTTCAGATAGTGAGCAGGTTGGGGCTTTTTGTTTGTTTTGTTTTGTTTTGCAGTACTGGTGATGGAACCCAGGGGCATTTTATCACCGAGCTATATCCTGAGCCCGTTTTATTTATTTATTTGTTTGTTTGTTTGTTTGTTTATTTATTTATTTAATTTTTAGATAGCAATTTGCTAAGTTTCTGAGGTTGGCCTCAAATTTGTGATACTTCTGCCTCAGCCTCCTGAATCTCTCGGGTTACCGGCCCTGGCCAGCCTATTGTTTTTAACAATCCATATAATAATATGAAGTAGGTAGTCATTGATTTTTAGCATGCATATTATCTAATATTTAAATAAAATATAATAAAACCCAGAACATTTTCTTGACAGTGTTAACAAAATGTAATATTTTAGCCATTGATCACAGAAGGAATGCTTTTAGCTTTCCATGACTCACAACATATTCTGGAGGTCCTTATAGGGTATGTAGTAATGATGATAAGTACTTGGTAAAGACATAAAGCAGCAGCAATCCAGGCCCTGCCCATTTTCATAGGGTCTTACAGGAACAGGACGGGGTCATTTTATTAATTTAAATAATGCAAATCAAAACCTGATGATGAATTATCAGCTAATAAATATAACTAAACCTTAAATATTTGAGTGCAAACATACCCAAAAAAAGACAATCTATATTTTCTCAAGCCCATCAGCTGCTCAGTGTCAGACCAAGACAAAAGACCCATGATTCTCTTGAACTTTCACCCACAAAGTTAGCTTCACTGAGATGGAATACAGAGTTAGCTCTGAATTAGAATCAATCCAAACTACTTACTTACTGCTTGCTTGGCCATCTCTTGCTAAACTGAAAGGGGGTAGGAATTGATATTTATTCACTTCTGTATTCCCAGTAACTAGCACATAGGAAAACATCAAACATTTTTAAAAAGGATGAATAAATATATTGCACAATAGATAATGCACTATATATTTCCAAAAACTAGAAAAAAAGGAGTTTGAATGCTTTCATCATAAAGAAATGATAAATGTTTAAGAAGGTAAATATGATTAAACTGACTTAAACATTGTATAATGTATTCATATAATGAAATAACACATAATATCCCATTAATATATGTTCTATGACCTTTTGTATTTAAAAATAGAAGATCTTATGTAATTAAAAAATAAATAATGAAATTTAAATAAATATCATGAAGACCTAGGCAAGAGAGAAAATAAAATAAACACATGAAATTGGGATCCACAACCTCCTTCTCCTACCAAAAATAACAACTGCTTCACCCCTCCCCTGACTCAGGCGCCCCTCCCCTGACTCAGGCAATGGCAAGGCCCTACTGAGATGGATGGCGCAAGGCGTCCATCCTCTGGAGGAGCGCAGTATGTTTCTGGGAATGGGCTGATTTGTTTTTGTATTCCTTTAATAAGTATAGTTGTGACTTCTCATATGACCATTAAGTATGAAGGAGAGTCCAATTCTAGGAGTTCAGACATGTAATTAGCCATCTGTCCCTCCTCTTGACTTCAGTCTCCTCACCTAGTCTAGAACACAATAGTTGAGTCCCTTTCCTCTTTAACATTTTTATTCTATTAAGCTTAGTATTAACTCAGCACTGTGGATTGCAAACATTAGAATTATGAATACATTAGAATTTTAGAACATATATAAGTTTTCTGTCTATGAACATACACTAAATAGGAAAACAAAACACTAAAAACATTATGGAAGAAAAAATAGACATTTGCCTAAACAACCTGCACTGTCTACAGCAGCAGCCAGGAGCCAGAGCTTATAACAGGAACTGGATATCTCAAAGGAATACCAATGACCTGGTTCTGCAGTACCTAAACTTGTTCTGGGAACTCATTCCAAAACAACCTGTCTGAGCCTCATCTGCAAATGGAAGTCACATTAGCATCTACCTCTCAAGACTGCTGTTAAGTTTAGTTGAGCTAATGTGCATAAAGTGCTGAGCATGACTTTACATGCCATAAACACTCAAAAAAAAAAAAGTTAAGAAAACCAAAAGACTCCAAGCCTGCTCATTGCTCAGATGTGAGCACAACCTCACCCCCAGCAGAAGATATTATCTTCTCCTATTCTGTCACCTGTGGTAATTAATTTACTCACTCCCTTAAGTTTTTCTGGGAGAGGGGGGAAACAAAAGAAAAAACAGGAGCTAGATAAGCCTACTCTTCAACTTCACCCTTTAGGCTTGGATATTCAAGATAAAATAATTACCTTGTAATATTGTATTTAATAAAATGTTTAAGACCCATGTTTTCATATTATAGCATCTTTGAAACAGGAATGCATCTTACAATTGATGGCATTTTAGGTTCAATGAATACAGTAAACTATGTTCTTGGTTAGTTCCCATGCCAAATATATAGTGTTTCTAGATTATATGAATCACAAAGAATTTTTTGGTGGCTTCACCTAGGAAATATTACTGTTTGTGATGTTGTGTCTATGAGATATTTAATAAAAGAAATTTGGGAAAAATAAAATCTTTTTTGTTAAGTGAAAACGAAAGTTCAAAATTACTTTGATAATCCTGACCCAAGGTCTTTTAACACTTAAAAGACACCAGAAAAATAATTCAATTGTGAATAGATCAAATTAAAGTGAAGTTCTGAATAACAAATGAGATTGATAAGAAATTTGACTTTCTAGAAGAGTGGGGAAATAACCCCATAAATCACCTGCAACCTTTGTCCTCCTAAGTCACTTTGCAAAATGGTAAGCACATTACATAGCCCTAAACTCATTTAGTCCTAAAATCATTTAGGATGGCTCATCTTCATGGGAAAAAGGAGGATGTTAGTGTAGGTAACAAAATAGGCAAGGCAAGACATATTTAAGTGCCACCTGTGTTTTATATTCTTTTTCTTTGTTAACAAAGTACTGAAAAGTCACTGCTCAAATCAATAGCTTACATGAGGCATAATCACAGATACATCTTCCTTACATTCCAGTAACTAATGACCCACAATATCAAAAAATGTTGCTCCTTGCTGGACTCAGGGGCTCACGTTGGTAATCCCAGGTACTCTGAAGTAAAAGGCCAGGAAATCCTAAATTCGAGACCAGCCTAAGTGTGAGATTCTCCCTCAAAGTAAAAAATAAAAAGGCCTGGGGATGTAGCTCAGTAGTAGAACGCCCCCGGGCTCAATCCCCAGTACCCTAACAGAAAGAGGGGAAAATAAAGTTAATCTTTGTTTTGTTACTGAATTAATTAATTTTTTTCCTTCTCTCCCTCCCCACCCCTCTTCTTTCTCTCCCTCCTCCTTTCCCTCCCTCCCTATTCCCTACCCCGCTCCCTGCCCCTGAAATCAATGCCTGAAAAGCACATCTCTGTTTTGAGAAGTAGTCAGAACCATCAAACCCAATCAAGGTCCTTCTGGATCCCCCTCCCTGGGCAGGTGATCACACACTGGCCTGCACAGTGTCTCAAGCGCTCAGGAGATCTAACATCCCGAGTGCCTCGCTGCCTCACCCCGGTTATCTCTCCTAGTGTAAGGACAAGGCTCTGAAGCACAGCGGGATCTGGGTCTGGGAGAGAAAGACCAGCCCTAGTCCTAGGGCGTGAGAAGTTCACCATCCCAGTGGGTAAACAGACTGCAGTGGTGACGACTCCGCGGTCATCCCCAAAGAAGCATTGAGTGCAAGAAGTAACAAGGTGTTCGTTTCGCAACTTCAACATCAACCAATTCTTTATTCCCCAGCAATAGCACCATCACCACTCGCAAAAAGAAAAAAAAAATGCGAATCGCCCTCCTTCCCGCTTCCTATTTAGAAATTCCGGAGCCGTGGGTACGGACCTCCCTCTGGAGCAGGGAAATGGTCCAGGACAAGGCTTGGCAGGGAGTCCTCAAATGCTCCCTACCCGTTCTCTCTGGCTTCCCCGGGCCACCGCTGAGCCCTCCAGGTCGCCCCTGGGCTCTGGGACCAGGAGGTCCAGCTCCCGGGAGACTCCGGCAAACAGCTGGAATCGCTCCGGCGATCTCAAAACGCATCTGGCCGACTGACCTCCCTCTCCCCACACACGCACGGTCCACCCATCAGCTTGTCCTTCCCCCGGTCCCCTCCTCACCCTGTCCGCTCTGGGACGCCAACCGGTCCCCTGCAGTCCTGGGCTCCCAAGTCGGGACAGAATCGGCGGCGAGTTCCCAGCAGAAATTGGGCTGGGGGGCTGGGAAGGAGGAGGTGTTTGCTTAACTTTGGAAGACGTCACGCCTCTTCTTCCTGCAGCCAATCAGAGGCCGCCCTGAGGGAACAACCTCCTCCTCCACCAATCGGCGACGCTGCCAGGTACTAGGTCATGCCCTGCCCCTACTCCTCCCCAAAAGTCCGTCAGCCTTTCAGATCTCTGACCCGCGTGCGTAGCTGCAGGGATCCCACCATCCCTGGGCGGTCACTGACCAGGTTTGTAAAAAGGAGGCAAGCGGGTACATAGAAGGACGAAAATAGTCTGGGCGTTACCCGCGAAATAGATGTGCACAGCTCCTGGAAAAAAGTGGCCGGCGCGTGTGCCTTCCGATACACACTCTTCAGAGGATTTTTCCGGCCTGCAACAAGTCTGTAGAGCCAGATGACAGTTCTTAGAACAATTTTGGAATCCAAATAGCAGAAATTCAATGTGGTGAACCCCCACTCAATATGGTGAAACCCCACTCAATGAATAGAAATTTGTGAATGGAAAAGTTCAGTGCTCTTGAAAATACTGGCAGGATTATTATTATTATTATTATTATTATTATTATTATTATTATTATTATTATTATTAATGTATTTCCCAAGACTAGTCCCAGCACTAGGGAAGAACCACCTGAATTCCAGTCGTTGTTCCCCAAGGAGAAAATAGCCATCATCCCTCCTGTTTTTACAACTTTCTCCACGACTTACTCTTTTCTATGCCTGCAACAGATGAGTTTAGCTACATTATCCTAGAACATTCTTGGAACGCCACTGCTATCTTCCATTCGTTTCTCTTCCAAAGACATGAGGTTGGAATGTTCCTCTGTGTCTTTAGTTTCACACATCCAAAATCAAATTCCTAATCCATCTCCTGAAGTTTTCCCACTTTTGTGGGTACAGGGAGAATTCAGGCAGGTCCTAAGCACACAGAGTTACCAGGTAGGGTGGCATTACCTGCCCATCCTCAAATGCCTCCAGTTGACCCTCCACTGCCTGTGAATCATTGCACCTAATAAAGTTATTGTCAAGTCCCTTTTTGGTTACTTTGTATCTTGGAAATTTTCTTTTAAAAATATGTGCATGAGAAATACTATTCTTTAAAATAGGAGATTTTGAGTATTTTCCTCAGTGATATTTGCTATAACAGGTGATGGTCTCAGAAATTTCTTTGCAATGTAAAGGAACAATGGATGAGAGGGGGGGAAAAAAGCAGACCTTGAATATATCCCAACTCAGCTTGTATTGTCAACTCCTCAAACTCCTTCAATATGAAACGCCTGCTGCCCAAATGGGGGCTGACTCAATGTTCCTGGAATTGGAAGGTTGATTCTAGGCCATTCAAACTACTTTTCTTTCTCTTTAACCACTTTGCTTTCCCTCTTCTTTTATTGTTCCTTGCTTTTCTTCTCTCTGAGAGGTCTTGAAGGTACTTAAGCATGGAGTAAATGGAACCTAGACTTAATCCCCTCCTTTGTCACTCACTAGTAAGTCACTTAACCTCTTTAAACCTCATTTTCCGTCATCAGTACAGTGCAGAACGTCACAGGGTTGTCAAGATTAAATGATGCATGATCTCAGTACATGAAAGCTAATGTTGAGGCATTTGTTTAGTCAACTTTTCTTCACTGAGAAAAACAATTGAGAGAAAGAAAAATTTATCTTGGCTCACAGTTTCGGGGGAGTCAGTTCATGGCTGACTGGTTCCTTTGCTTTGGGCCTCACTTAAAGCAGGGCACGGGAAGGAAAGCTGCTCAGCTTGTGGCAACTAGGAAGCAGAGTGAGAGGAGGAAGTGTCCAAGGACAAGATACATTATTCCAGGGCATGCCCCCAAGGAAAAACTTTCTTCATCCTTGCTCCCTGACCCACAGTTTCCAACACCTCCCAGTAGTCCATTCAGCTATCAATGGATTAATCCACTAATAAGGTTGGAGACCTCATGATCCAATCACTTCCCAAAAGCCCCACCTCTGAACATTGTTGCACTGTGGAATAAGTCTTTGTCACATGATTCTTTGGAGGAGCACTTCATATCCAAACCATAGCAGGTTTAGTATTTTTTCCTGTCTCATCTTCCCCTCACCTTTCATTGCACTCACAACCCAGTCTCCTTCTTAAACAACTTTGGCATAAAGAGAAAAGACATGGGCATTTAGGAGAATGAGAAAATAGACAGGAATTTGATATTTCCTAGATATTTCTATTTATTTCTCAAAACTTATTACTTCTTATATGAACAGCAATTTTTATAACATCATCTCTTGTCCATCCATAATAGAAAATTATTCCACTTTTTATAAAGAAAACTTTCTCTGGACTACAGGTGCAAATTCAAATGATTTTTTTTTTCAAATATAAGTAGTTTAGGTAAGAGCAGTTTTTAAAAGACAACTACTATTGTTGCTCTAATTCCCAAGTTCTGTTGGGAATGAAGCCTACCTTTTCACCTTTCAAGGAATTTGAAACTCCATTTAGGTGAGGCAAGAGCAGAACTACCCTCTGTTAAATCTAAATTAGAACTCCTGTACCAAGGTTGTGGGTGAAGATACTGATATCCTGAGAGATTATTCTACCACCACCACCACTTCACTACCCAATACCTTCAGATGAAAGAAACATTGAATATTAATTTCTAGTTCACCTTCTTTGCCTGGAAAATAATGCAAGAAATTTCCAACTTAATTTGAATTTCCAGGGTCAATTTTTATTGTCTCCAGGACTCATGGCTTCAGTTGAGAGTTCCTTGTGCAGGGCAAATAACTCAACGAACCTGCTGCTCATCAACATTTGCTTAGTAACTGCTTTTATAAGTCTACAAGGACACATAAATTTTCAGCTACATGTCACTATACTTAATGGGTTACATAAAAATTATATGCTGTAGTAATATAAGCCAATTTTTGTTATAATCTCAGTAACACATGATGGGTCTAATGTCTCAAATCAAGGAAGAAAACCAGTGTTCCTCCCCCAGTCTCTCCTGACAGAAGAGAAGATGTGTAAACTTATGTAAACCTTTGGAGATTAAGGTGAGAATAGCTAAACTGCCAGGTTGAAGAGATAAGAAGAGTCAGAATTTTGTCCTTCTAGTCCAAGTCTGGATAAACTAAATGAAATCAACTCCTTATAATAGTTTATCTCTCTGTTGAGATGGGAAGAAAAAACAAATTTTTAAAAAAATTTTCAGTGTAAGAAGTAGCAGGTTAGGAAGATAATCACAACTAAGGCAAGTTCATAACAGAAAGCTTAAGGTAGAGAGAGTACCCAAGACATTAAACTGACTATTATGGTACTTGCAATCTGTATAGATCCTCAGAAACAGACGTAATTGAATTTGAAAGGGACAGAAAAAGAACAGCAAGTGAGGATGCTCCTGCCAGATGGTATTATGTTGGCACTCCCGGGGCAGGCATAGGCATTTCTGTGCTGTAATTTACACATATATCTAATAAGGAAAGGTCTTGTATTTATAATATATACAGAAATTTTGTATATCAATCATAAAAAATGAGATAGGCAAAAGGTTTGAATTGACCATTCTCTAAAGAAGAAATGCAAGTGGTCATTAAGAACATGAAAATGAATGTAATATTATTTTCCATTAGAGAATTGCAAATCAAAACTACAATGAGATATCATCTCATACTCACTAGAATGGTAATAATAATAATAATAATACAACTATTGGTGAAGATATTGAGAATTTGGAACCCTCATATGTTGCAGGTAGAAAAGTAAAATGCAGTCCCTTTGGAAAAAAAGACTGGCATTCCTCAGATGCTTAGACAGAATTATCATATAATTCAATAGTTCAGCTCCTAGCTAGGTACCCAAGAGAAATGCAAAATGCATGTCTGCCAACAAAGAAACATTGCACACAAACGTTCATAACAAAATATCCTCATACCCAAAATATCCTAATTCCAAAAGTGGAAACAATGTCAATGTCTGTCAACTTATAAGCAGGCAAACAAAATGTTCATAAAAATGGAATATTTTTCAACAATATAAATAAATGAAGTACTGACACATGCTACAACATGAATGAACATGAAAATATTATACTAAGTGAAATGAAGCATACAAAAAACATATGATATATTGTATTGTTTAGCTTATATAAATGCACAGAATGAGTGAATCTATACATAAAAAAGTAGAGCAATTAAGGAATTTGGAGCCCAACCCCACAATATGTAGATCGGAGCCAACTTTTTCTTCTGTCAGACGCAGAGTCTCTGATTTGATATCAAGCTCTTTGATCCATTTTGAGTTAACTTTTGTGCATGGCTAGAGAAAGGGATTCAGTTTCATTTTGTTGCATATCTAGCCAATCCTTAAAAAACAAATGCCAAATGTCTTCTTTGATATAAGGAGAGCAACTAAGAACAGAGCAAGGAGGAAGAGCATAATAAGAAGATTAACAATAAACAGGGATGAGAGGTGGGAGGGAAAGAGAGAGAGAAGGGAAATTGCATGGAAATGGAAGGAGACCCTCATCGTTATACAAAATTACATATAAGAGGAGGTGAAGGGAAAGGGGAAAAAAACAAGGGAGAGAAATGAAGTACAGTAGATGGGGTAGAGAGAGAAGATGGGAGGGGAGGGGAGGGGAGGGGGGATAGTAGAGGATAGGAAAGACAGCAGAATACAACAAACACTAGTATGGCAGTATGTAAAAATGTGGATGTGTAACAGATGTGATTCTGCAATCTGTATACGGGGGAAAAATGGGAGTTCATAACCCACTTGAATCAAATTATGAAATATGATATGTCAAGAGCTATGTAATGTTTTGAACAACTAATAAAAAAGTGATAAAAAAAGTAGAGCAAAATTTGTCAAATGATGGGAGAAATGAGGGAATTGACAGATGATAGCAAAGAGGTACAGAGTTTCTTTTTGTGTTGATGAAAATATTCTAAAGTTTGTTGTGGTGATGATTAGACAAATCTGTGAATGTAATAGAAGCTGTTAAAATGTATACTTTAAATAAACTCATTGCATAGTGTATGAATGAGGTCTCATTTTAGCTGTTTA